GGAGGCCGGTGTCAGTGTTTGTTTCCTGGTTTGCATCGGGAGTCGTGTTGTACTGTGTCCACATCCGTATTGACGCTGTGGCCAGAGACGATGACCTTGTCGTAGTGTTCAACCTTGTCGGTGTTGTCAACACCAGCTTCAACCTGGCGACCGATATCGATGACAGTGTTGACGTCTGTCGATACTCTCAATGCATGTTTGGTGGAAATGATGTGGAATGCAAGCGTTTGCTTTGGGATATTGCAAAGGGTACGGTAATTTATTCCACTTGTAACGGGGTAGCCCGTTACATGAAATTGGCACCAAGCGGTGTCAATAGGGAGATTGTCTAGCGTGATAATTCCCTGCAACATTATCCGAGATAGATTATATTGAAGGAATAGTGTACGAGATAGATAATATTGAAGGAATATTATCCCCATTCAGAATAATATGCATACGCTGCTCAAAGATCTGTTGATATGAGACATATCAACCAAGGTTACCATCAATCACTGCTAGACGCGCGCAATGAGTGGTGAGCAGGTTGTCGTCATACGACGACGTAGATTATTATTGTTAGATGAAGACTGAAGTTATATTGATAGCTTAACCATATTACATACTGTTCTCTTTTTACCTTTACTCAGCTTAGTTGTTGAATAGATCAAATTGCTTTGCACGTACTATTGCACGTGAACTTTCGTGGCACCCCAAACTAAGGGTGCCCCGTTACACCTGGTAGCACTTTGTAGTCCGTCCAACAACTACTTAGTGCTCTTTTAACATGAACATGTTAGACGTAGAAGACGACAGCTTTCATGTCACACGTAAAGGCTACTCCCATCTGAGTGACTCAGAATGAGAGATAGTCGGCTGCATGACTGTGCTCATGGTCGAACCCGCCATAAGTAGCACGTTGGGGTCTCTAAGCAGAGACCAGCGACAGGCTGCTATCAACAAGGTCGTACAGGGGGAACTGTCGTCGAAAGACAAAAGATAGCCTTGCTACAGCAGCAAGGCTCTCATCAGTCGATGGGCAGGCCGACGCACATGCGTCGACCCGAAACCTTGAAGATAGAAATCTCAAGATACAAGGGAACCAATGAAGTTTACCTTTTGACATGGTTCGTCGAGTTAGGCGATGCTATCAGGGCCCGTCTCATCGAGGGTGACGAGATGCAAGTCACCTTCGCCCTGTCAAATTTGACGGGACGAGCAAAGACTTGGGCCTTAGGGCTCAAGATTCACGACCCAAACGTCTTTGAGTCGTTAAAGACCTCGAAGTATCGGTTCTTAAAGAGACGTTTGAGCCGCCGAGAGCCGAGTCAAGAGCACGCTCTGCACTCTTGAGGCCAAAGCAAGGTAAGCGTGATATGCACGCTTACGCACAGCACCTGTGCTACCTTGCGAGTAGCGTTACGGAAAACCCGGTTGATGAGCACACGCTCATCAACGTATTAATCGACGACCTTGTGGATGGGCCGGTGAAGACCTACATGTTCCGAGAGGACTTCCATACGCTGAAGGCGATAGCGTATGCGGAACAAGAAGACTTCATCCTGAGACAGTCTCAGGATAACTTGTCAAACTATCGTACGACGAGACGAAAGGAAACAGGAGGTCCCGAACCAATGGACCTCTTTTATATCAAGAGCGAGAGCTCTCGCTTTCTGAGTCACAAGCGAATGGCAAGATGCCATCGCTGTCAGAATATTGGACACTACACTCATGAGTGTATTGTCCCAAGCACCGCAACACGTCCAAAGACAGGACGTGATGACCACCGTTGGCCAAAGAAAGGTCCAAGGCGTGGGTCCGACCATATCGCTAAGTCGCGACAGCAAGTAGGACCGTCAAAAAATGGTCAGGATCAGTAGGGGCGGAAAACCCTGCTGATCCAGCAACGTCAAGAGAATTTGCAGGACTATTGACGAAGAATGCTTCCAACACACAGTCGCTGTGTGTTACTGCCCCTAGTGATGAGGAGTCTCTCATCACTTTGAAGATCGAAGTGACAAGTGGAATGTCACTCCGAGCCATAGTTGACCGTGGGGCTCCAAACAGTTTTATTCAAAGCCAGTCGCTAGAAGATAGTAGACTCAACTGTGTTGAGCGAGGGATTTCTCCAACGAGGATGACGGTGTGCCTTGCTACAGGAGAACCGCAACCGTGAACAAACGTGTAGTGGGAATCCACTACAAGCTAGAAGGAAAGCAGTACGATGATGACTTTGTCGTACTGGATTTTGACGACAAATATGATGTCATCCTCGGCCTGCCATGGCTTAGAAAATACCAGCCATGGGTTAGCTGGCAGCATCTATCCGTGAAGACGCCTGCCTTTTGATCATCAGATGACCATCTGATGAGCGTCTTGGAGCGTCCACAAGAGTGTACATGTACTACGGGTGAGTTTGATGGCCTCATTTGTGGTACTGTCGTTAGTATGACTGCACAAGATCACAGCGTAGAAGGCCACTACACTAAATAACCAGCTTCCAGCACCTGTGTAGAGACACAGGCTTCGCCGAAGGTTCACCACTCGAAGAGATCGAGTGGACTGGAACAAGGATGCACACCAAGAAGGGTGAATCCGAGAAGAGATATTAGAGTTGTTCAGGATGAACAACACGTTGAAGCAATATCGACTATCAGAGAGTCGATCGTAGAGCAAGCTCGATCGACTGAAAGATAATCTATCGAAGAGGACGTGACCGTGATAGTGCACGTAACAGAAGAACATTCCGGCGTTCCTGAGAGCAATAACTCCCGAGAGAGTTATGTTGAGGGTGTAGATCCCCAACCACCTGCGGATGCGTTTTCCCAGTAAATCACCGAGTCAGTTAATGTCTTGGTGAATGACGGATCAAGTGTAGGCGCTTATACATCTAATCTGGTCGCGCCCCCGAAGCCAGCTTCGGATGTAATCAAGTTGCCAAAGCTAGAATCTAAAAGATTCTTGCGAGATCCGCGTAGTGACAAGATCAAGCAGATCTACGTATTGGTCACAGAGGACGAGTGCGTCACCGAAATTCGGTCGGAACAAGTTTTTACTGAGAACGAACGGGTTCTCAGTAGCTTAACGATGGACGAGAGTGTCCTCGATGATAAGACCCGTACTGGGAGATACACGTTTCAGTCTTGGTAGTTTTCGAAGAACAATCCTTTGTATAAGGGTTCGGTCAAATCCAGGGATGTTTTCCCTTAACCCGTGCCATGCGAGCTGCCTAAGGACAAAGGCACTCGGCTTGAGATCGAGCTGATGCCCGGTTAGAAGTAATGTGTCATGAAGCAGTGGCCACTGCCTCATGAATTGGACACAGCGATTGACTAATTCTTTGCCGATCGCTTAGCGACTGGTTATTTGAGGGAATCAACATCCCCACACATCTCTCCGACCTTCTGTGTGCGAAAGACCACAGAACGGTGGCGGATAGTGCACGCGATCAAAAAATTGAATGCTGTAAACGCTAATACCAAGGAAGGATGGCGTCATAGATGGTATGGCAAAAAGTACCATCTTTTCGTCCATGGATAGATTCTATCAGATCCTCAAGCGTGAACGGGACATCCCGTACACAGCAGTGAGCACCCCCAGTGGTATGCTCTGGGAGTGGCTAGTGGTGCCACAGGGGCTAAGTAACGCCCCTGCAACGTTTAACAGATGTGTTACGAATTTGTTGCGATAGGTGCGAGATTTTGCACCGAGTAACTTTGATGACGTCTTCGTCCATAGCCGGGCTATGGATGGAAAGACGGACGTGGAGGTTCATAGAATCCACGTCTGGAAGCTTCTTACGCTTTTGCAAGAGCATAATTTGTTCGCGAACCTCAAAAAGTGTATCTTCGCAGCGAACAAGATACCACTTCTTGCCTGCATCGTGGGTAAAACCGGCGTACGCCCTGATACGGAAAATATCAAGGCGGTGAGCAACGTACTTGCACAATTGCTCGCGCAACCACGCCGAGATGATCGTTCATCTCTCTCGTCTGTTAAAGAAAAACGAGATGTGGTCATGGAGTGCTAAGTGTCAGCACTCCTTTGAAGGTATCAAGAAAAGCTTGATACAATCGCCTGTGTTGGCGATTGCGGACCAAGACAGACCATTCCATGTGGTCGGTGACGCCAGCGATTTTGCAATCGGCTGCGCGTTAATGCAGTACGACTCAGACGGCGTTGAGCGCGTCGTCTGTTATCAATCGCGTCAGCTGCAAGCAGCTGAGCGTAACTACTCAGTGCATGACAAAGAACTCCTTGCCATGAAATATGCGCTGGCCAAATTCCGTGTACATCTCTTAGGAGATAGGCCCTTCATCGTTTATACCGACCATGCGTCGTTACGCACGGCCGTAAACAGTCCACACCTCTCACAATGAATGGCGATGTGGCTGTCTTTCTAAGCGGAGTACAACTTCTTCGTCGATTGTAAACTAGGACGACTTAATGTCGTCGCTGATGCTCTTTCGCGTCGGCCCGATGTCGAGCCGACTGCTCAACCCAACAGTAAAAGTGATATCACTGTTGCAACACTATCAGTGAGTGTTCCGTCGTCGAATCTGGTCGACGACGTACAAAAAACAAACGCTGAAGATGAGTCTCTTCTGCGTTTGATGGATTACGTATCCAATCTGTGCAGTCAATCTTTAAAAAGCTTTAGGTCTCAATAATGCTCTTCAAAAGAACGGTATTCTGTTCGTGATGGACTGCTGTACTACGCATCAGTCGACGGCGACACACCTCGTGTCGTCGTTCCCGATCATGATGATTCGCGATTGCGCATCGTGTATGAGTGTCACGATGCCCCAACAAGTGGGCATCGCGGTAGAGAAAAGACGTACCTCACGGTAAGTCGTGACTTTTACTGGCCCCGCCAGTATGAGTTTGTGCGCAAGTAGATTAGCGCTTGCGAAGTTTGTCTACGGGTGAAGCCTAGCCCTTCATCCCGCGCACCCTTGCAGCCTCTACCAATTCCGGCAGAGTGCTGGTAGTTCGTATCGATGGACTTCGTCTTCGGGTTCCTAAAAGACGCTCACAAGAATACTGGCATTCTCGTGTTTGTTGATCGGTTCAGCAAGATGGTACCTCTTGTTGCGGTACCGGAGTCGATCACAGCCCAGGGCTGTGCTCGTGTCTTCATCGATACTATCTTCCGACTTCATGGGTTGCCCCGTGAACTCGTGTCTGATCGAGACCCCCGCTTCACAGCGGAGCTCTGGCAATCCGTGTTCCGTTCACTCGAAACACGTTTGAAGATTTCGACTTCTGACCAGCCAGAAACAGATGGTCAGACAGAACGCGTCAATCGCGTCCTCGATGAGATACTTCGAGGGTATGTCCACTCGTTTAATAGTTGGAGTGAGTTCTTGCCGATGGCAAAATTCGCCATCAACAAATCGATGCATGCGTCGATAACGCATACACCTGCGCCATCCAAGTTAACCAGCCTTCTTAGAGTGTGACTCTAGTTTAAGGGACGGGTGGACTCGCTCGAACGAAAACCGATCTGATTCTTGCTCATCACACGTCGACAATGGTGTCGACGTGATGGATGCCGATGTCGATGCAATCGACATCGATGATGACGATGATGCTGGTATATTCAGCATCGCCAATGACTGCCATAGGGAGGACGATGACGCCCTCACTGGTGAAGACAACGTTCTTTCAGCAGCGCACAAAAAACGCACTGCTGTTGACAAGGATGAATCAGGAGAGGAATTTCTGCTGACTCGCGAAGCGGTTGTCCGCTTTGTTCAAGACTCCATTGCAGATGCAATAGATAGACAGAAAAGAAATGCGGACAGACATGGAAGAGCAAACGTTCTTTCATTCAAAGAAGGAGACTTATTTCTACAGTCAACAGTAAATCTACCGAAACACGCAGTAACAAACGTGGGCAGCAGTAAATTACTGCCCAAGCACATCGGTCCATTCCGTGTGTTGAGCCGTATGGGCAGCGCATACACGATTGAACTGCCTTGTAAGATGCGCACGCATCACACATTTACGTTGGACGTCTCCACCCGTACTATCAGTACGAGCCCGTTTCGAGAGGCGAAGAACACCTCCGCGGTCAACGGCCGAGACCACCTTCGATTGGTCCCGGGTTAAATGAGCCAGTCTGGTCGACTAGCGAAGCGACCTGCTCACGCAGTTGAGCGATGTCCTGACGAGCTGCAGTCAGCTCATCACGAAGAGAACGGACCGAACGTTTGTTCGCAAGTTGCACAAACGCAAATGCGGCACGATCGTTCGAACGATCGTGCGCTTAGAATTAGTAATTATCCTCTACAAGGACATGGAGCTCATAAAGCCGAGTCCATTTTTGATCTAAGTCATCGTGTAACTGGTTCGTTTACGGTTCAGTTCCTGAACATCAAGCTATTCCGACCGTTGAGCCGGATCAGGTGTTCCCGCCACCCACCACATTTCTTGGTGGAATCTGGCGGTGGTCAACGCTTTCTGGTGGAGCGTATCTTGAACCACCACAACGTGAATGGCGTCCGGCGAGTTACCTCGTCCGCTGGCGTGGCTATCCACCGGCTATCCACCGGCGTAGGATAGCTGGGAGCCTCGTGCCCAGCTGATCGCTGATGTTCTGGGTCTCTTCGATCAATATGACGAGACCCACCCGCTGCGTTCGAAGAAGGGCCACCGGAAAACGACCTCCCCAAACGCGAGTACAGGGATTGCAAGGTGTCAATCCCTTCGGCTATCTCAGAAGAGATGCGCGCCCTCCAGTAGGGATCGTTAGGGAGGAAGGCCTCCCTAGGGGCGCGGTTCGAGTTGTCCAGGCAACCTGGACACGAATAACCCCACGAGAGACAGGGTAATCCTGCCTCTCTCGACTGTCGGTGCAACTTGTATCGTACACCGACTGGGTTACGCTTCTCAAACCAGATGAGAGCTGCATCAAGTTTGCCAAGCCAGGCCTCACGGCCAATGCACTCGATGTTATGGATGAAGGCATCCCATCCTTGCAGCAAGGCCTTACCGTCTCGACCACGGTTGCCGTTGTGCCACAGATGCTTGAAAAACATATCGGTGGAGAACTTTTCCTCAGCACGGATAGTTTCCGTGCTGGAGTTAGGAGGGCAAATCCTCCTACAATCGATTAATGGGATTCGATCCTTTTCGGTGGTCATACCGGCCACTCGATCTAACTCTTTGGATGAAGGCATCCAAGGAGACTCCACTTGAGGAGATTGGCGCAGGACATTTCGGTCCCTGCCCTCTTGATTGGTGTCAGCATGAACACTGACACGAGTGGCAGCTCGATCCCTCGAGTTTATCCTCTCGTGGTGATGCACAGGGTCATCAACACCATCACCACGCCCCCTCTCGTTGGATGGACTTGCGTGAGACGAGGAATCTTCAGAAGAATTGCTCAGTCCGAAGATCTCGGACATGATGCCGCCACCTTTTTAAGAGCCAGTCAACCTGGTTCTTGAAGTGTCCGCCCCGGATGATCCGGAGGCGTGAGGTGTCGCCTTCGAGTCGGATGCATCATCCGACTAGTCAAAGTAGATGGGCTCTATTCCAGGATCATCCACATTGCGAGTCGCTGAACCCGCTGAAGACGCAGCGGATGTGCCTGTCGAACGTGATGACTCACCACGTGGAGGATTCACGCGACGAATCGCCTGCTGCTCAGGCGTGAGAGGTGCTTTCCCCGGCCTCAGGCATGCGTGCAGCCGCCTTTCTTGCTGATGCAGTATCAACTCGCTTGGATTTCGAAAACATGCCTTAGATTGGTAAATGAGTGAGAATTTGTCCAATAAGTGCACCCTTTCCCAAAGTGATCCAACAGTGATCACCCTGTCCTAATCAATTCTTATTCAATCAACGGGTGATTGGTGGTTAAGGGGGTGATGTAACGGGGTAGCCCGTTACATGAAATTGGCACCAAGCGGTGTCAATAGGGAGATTGTCTAGCGTGATAATTCCCTGCAACATTATCCGAGATGGATTATATTGAAGGAATAGTGTACGATATAGATAATATTGAAGGAATATTATCCCCATTCAGAATAATATACATACGCTGCTCAAAGATCTGTTGATATGAGACATATCAACCAAGGTTACCATCAATCGCTGCTAGACGCGCGCAATGAGTGGTGAGCAGGTTGTCGTCATACGACGACGTAGATTATTATTGTTAGATAAAGACTAAAGTTATATTGATAGCTTAACCATATTACATACTGTTCTCTTTTTACCTTTCCTCAGCTCAGCTGTTAAATAAATCATCTTCCTCTGCACGTACTTGTGCACGTGAGCTTTCGTGGCACCCAGAAAAAGGGTGCCCCGTTACAGAGCTTAGTTTACGACTACAAGAAAGTGTGGCAAGCACTGTGCAGAAATGGAGCGATCGTTTGGAGCAAGTCAAGATCAGTTGTAGCAAGTCAATACCAGTAAGAGCGAACGTGTCAATACGAACAAGCGGATTGGAACGTGTGAATCAGAAGAGCGGATCGAGGCCAATCGATCGAGGCGAGTTGATCTGAACGTGTGTATCTTATCGTAATGATGGGGAAGGCTGACTACGACGTGCTGCAACATCTCGGAAGTATGCAGCGCCAAGCTTGCACCGAGCCGTTGCACTCAACACAATAGGTAGTCGAGCATGTGTTTCATTGACGCGATATGTTGAACCAAAGTGGCGACCAGAACAACATTGGACGAACTCAGAGCGTTAGAGAACAAAGCGAGGCTGAATGAGCATGCCGATTTCCATTTGATTGGCTGCATTGCAGTCGCCTTGTTCTGTTCTGTCCGTGTGAGAGTGCGGCAGGTTGCAATCGTGTCGATGGTGTCTTTGATGTGTGACGTCTACCATCCCCAGCCGCCACCGTATCCACCCCAGCCACCACCGTATCCACCCCAGGGACGCCCCCATCCATAGCCTCCCCAGCGATGTCCCCATCCCGGTCGTCCCCACCACTCCTTGGCCTTCTTGCTGTCATCGTCGACATTATGCTCCGTGTTGGCAGCTGCAGCAGCAGCCTCCACAGGAGGAGACGATTGTTGCTTGGTCGGGTTGAAAGCAAGCGTGTCGGCAATGGGTGCAGTTGGCTCCTGTGCGGCAAGTGCTCGGAGCACCGGCTGGTAGTCGTCAGCGGATGCGATGCTTGCTACGGTGGCTAGCGCAGTAATGGCGAGAGCGGTGATCTTCATGGTCGAGTTCGTCTGTCGCTTGGTCAGTCGTCAGTCGGTCGGTCGTTCGAGTCGATAACTTCCTCGCTGCGTGGTGCACTGGCAGTGTCAATTGGACAGTGAGTGGGATCGGTAGACGAGCTCGCGAGTGGGCTGGTGTTGTGACGGGTAAATGGTCACGAACCGTCATGGTGACTGCTTCAGTTGATTGAGCTGATCAAGCTGATGGTTGGAAGGCCCGCGTGTTTCGATCGTGTTTCCAGCCACGAGCGTGAAAGGCAATTTCGAGTCACGTTTGTGTTTGTCCGTTTCTTTGCGAATGTGGTAGCTGATTCCTGGCTGGTTCCGATACTTATCGATTCGTGGTGCATGCTACGAGTTGGCCACGAGCAGTACGATGGAGGTCGGTGTCAGTGTTTGTTTCTTGATTTGCGTCGGTAGTCGTGTTGTACTGTGTCCACATCCGCATCGACGCAAATGCCAGATCTGGTGACCTTGTCGTAGTGTTTAACACCAGCTTCAACCCGGGGACCGATATCGATGCCAAATTTTTGAAATAGAGTACCCTTTGTTCGGGGAGCCACGAAGCTTCACGTACATAGTACGTGCAGAGAAAGCCAAATTACTTAAACGATCTGTTTAAGTTAAAGGCAAAAAAAGAACAGTATGTAATAAGGTTAAGCTATCAATATAACTTCAGTCTTCATCTAACAATAATAATCTACGTCGTGGTATGACGACAACCTGCTCACCACTCATTGCGCGCGTCTAGCAGTGATTGATGGTAACCTTGGTTGATATGTCTCATATCAACGGATCTTTGAGCAGCGTATGTATATTATTCTGAATGGGGATAATATTCCTTCAATATTATCTATATCTCGTACACTATTCCTTCAATATAATCCATCTCGGATAATGTTGCAGGGAATTATCACGCTAGACAATCTCCCTATTGACACCGCTTGGTGCCAATTTCATGTAACGGGCTACCCCGTTACATCACCCCCTTAACCACCAATCACCCGTTGATTGAATAAGAATTGATTAGGACAGAGGGTGATCACTGTTGGATCACTTTGGGAAAGGGTGCACTTATTGGACAAATTCTCACTCATTTACCAATCTAAGGCATGTTTTCGAAATCCAAGCGAGTTGATACTGCATCAGCAAGAAAGGCGGCTGCACGCATGCCTGAGGCCGGGGAAAGCACCTCTCACGCCTGAGCAGCAGGCGATTCGTCGCGTGAATCCTCCACGTGGTGAGTCATCACGTTCGACAGGCACATCCGCTGCGTCTTCAGCGGGTTCAGCGACTCGCAATGTGGATGATCCTGGAATAGAGCCCATCTACTTTGACAAGTCGGATGATGCATCCGACTCGAAGGCGACACCTCACGCCTCCGGATCATCCGGGGCGGACACTTCAAGAACCAGGTTGACTGGCTCTTAAAAAGGTGGCGGCATCATGTCCGAGATCTTCGGACTGAGCAATTCTTCTGAAGATTCCTCGTCTCACGCAAGTCCATCCAACGAGAGGGGGCGTGGTGATGGTGTTGATGACCCTGTGCATCACCACGAGAGGATAAACTCGAGGGATCGAGCTGCCACTGGTGTCAGTGTTCATGCTGACACCAATCAAGAGGGCAGGGACCGAAATGTCCTGCGCCAATCTCCTCAAGTGGAGTCTCCTTGGATGCCTTCATCCAAAGAGTTAGATCGAGTGGCCGGTATGACCACCGAAAAGGATCGAATCCCATTAATCGATTGTAGGAGGATTTGCCCTCCTAACTCCAGCACGGAAACTATCCGTGCTGAGGAAAAGTTCTCCACCGATATGTTTTTCAAGCATCTGTGGCACAACGGCAACCGTGGTCGAGACGGTAAGGCCTTGCTGCAAGGATGGGATGCCTTCATCCATAACATCGAGTGCATTGGCCGTGAGGCCTGGCTTGGCAAACTTGATGCAGCTCTCATCTGGTTTGAGAAGCGTAACCCAGTCGGTGTACGATACAAGTTGCACCGACAGTCGAGAGAGGCAGGATTACCCTGTCTCTCGTGGGGTTATTCGTGTCCAGGTTGCCTGGACAACTCGAACCCGCGCCCCTAGGGAGGCCTTCCTCCCTAACGATCCCTACTGGAGGGCGCGCATCTCTTCTGAGATAGCCGAAGGGATTGACACCTTGCAATCCCTGTACTCGCGTTTGGGGAGGTCGTTTTCCGGTGGCCCTTCTTCGAACGCAGCGGGTGGGTCTCGTCATATTGATCGAAGAGACCCAGAACATCAGCGATCAGCTGGGCACGAGGCTCCCAGCTATCCTACGCCGGTGGATAGCCGGTGGATAGCCACGCCAGCGGACGAGGTAACTCGCCGGACGCCATTCACGTTGTGGTGGTTCAAGATACGCTCCACCAGAAAGCGTTGACCACCGCCAGATTCCACCAAGAAATGTGGTGGGTGGCGGGAACACCTGATCCGGCTCAACGGTCGGAATAGCTTGATGTTCAGGAACTGAACCGTAAACGAACCAGTTACACGATGACTTGGATCAAAAATGGACTCGGCTTTATGAGCTCCATGTCCTTGTAGAGGATAATTACTAATTCTAAGCGCACGATCGTTCGAACGATCGTGCCGTATTTGCGTTTGTGCAACTTGCGAACAAACGTTCGGTCCGTTCTCTTCGTGATGAGCTGACTGCAGCTCGTCAGGACATCGCTCAACTGCGTGAGCAGGTCGCTTCGCTAGTCGACCAGACTGGCTCATTTAACCCGGGACCAATCGAAGGTGGTCTCGGCCGTTGACCACGGAGGTGTTCTTCGCCTCTCGAAACGGGCTCGTACTGATAGTACGGGTGGAGACGTCCAACGTAAATGTGTGATGCGTGCGCATCTTACAAGGCAGTTCAATCGTGTATGCGCTGCCCATACGGCTCAACACACGGAATGGACCGATGTGCTTGGGCAGTAATTTACTGCTGCCCACGTTTGTTACTGCGTGTTTCGGTAGATTTACTGTTGACTGTAGAAATAAGTCTCCTTCTTTGAATGAAAGAACGTTTGCTCTTCCATGTCTGTCCGCATTTCTTTTCTGTCTATCTATTGCATCTGCAATGGAGTCTTGAACAAAGCGGACAACCGCTTCGCGAGTCAGCAGAAATTCCTCTCCTGATTCATCCTTGTCAACAGCAGTGCGTTTTTTGTGCGCTGCTGAAAGAACGTTGTCTTCACCAGTGAGGGCGTCATCGTCCTCCCTATGGCAGTCATTGGCGATGCTGAATATACCAGCATCATCGTCATCATCGATGTCGATTGCATCGACATCGGCATCCATCACGTCGACACCATTGTCGACGTGTGATGAGCAAGAATCAGATCGGTTTTCGTTCGAGCGAGTCCACCCGTCCCTTAAACTAGAGTCACACTCTAAGAAGGCTGGTTAACTTGGATGGCGCAGGTGTATGCGTTATCGACGCATGCATCGATTTGTTGATGGCGAATTTTGCCATCGGCAAGAACTCACTCCAACTATTAAACGAGTGGACATACCCTCGAAGTATCTCATCGAGGACGCGATTGACGCGTTCTGTCTGACCATCTGTTTCTGGCTGGTCAGAAGTCGAAATCTTCAAACGTGTTTCGAGTGAACGGAACACGGATTGCCAGAGCTCCGCTGTGAAGCGGGGGTCTCGATCAGACACGAGTTCACGGGGCAACCCATGAAGTCGGAAGATAGTATCGATGAAGACACGAGCACAGCCCTGGGCTGTGATCGACTCCGGTACCGCAACAAGAGGTACCATCTTGCTGAACCGATCAACAAACACGAGAATGCCAGTATTCTTGTGAGCGTCTTTTAGGAACCCGAAGACGAAGTCCATCGATACGAACTACCAGCACTCTGCCGGAATTGGTAGAGGCTGCAAGGGTGCGCGGGATGAAGGGCTAGGCTTCACCCGTAGACAAACTTCGCAAGCGCTAATCTACTTGCGCACAAACTCATACTGGCGGGGCCAGTAAAAGTCACGACTTACCGTGAGGTACGTCTTTTCTCTACCGCGATGCCCACTTGTTGGGGCATCGTGACACTCATACACGATGCGCAATCGCGAATCATCATGATCGGGAACGACGACACGAGGTGTGTCGCCGTCGACTGATGCGTAGTACAGCAGTCCATCACGAACAGAATACCGTTCTTTTGAAGAGCATTATTGAGACCTAAAGCTTTTTAAAGATTGACTGCACAGATTGGATACGTAATCCATCAAACGCAGAAGAGACTCATCTTCAGCGTTTGTTTTTTGTACGTCGTCGACCAGATTCGACGACGGAACACTCACTGATAGTGTTGCAACAGTGATATCACTTCTACTGTTGGGTTGAGCAGTCGGCTCGACATCGGGCCGACGCGAAAGAGCATCAGCGACGACATTAAGTCGTCCTAGTTTACACTCGACGAAGAAGTTGTACTCCGCTAAGAAAGACAGCCACATCACCATTCATTGCGAGAGGTGTGGACTGTTTACGGCCGTGCGTAACGACGCATGGTCGGTATAAACGATGAAGGGCCTATCTCCTAAGAGATATACACGGAATTTGGCCAGCGCATATTTCATGGCAAGGAGTTCTTTGTCATGCACTGAGTAGTTACGCTCAGCTGCTTGCAGCTGACGCGATTGATAACAGACGACGCGCTCAACGCCGTCTGAGTCGTACTGCATTAACGCGCAGCCGATTGCAAAATCGCTGGCGTCACCGACCACATGGAATGGTCTGTCTTGGTCCGCAATCGCCAACACAGGCGATTGTATCAAGCTTTTCTTGATACCTTCAAAGGAGTGCTGACACTTAGCACTCCATGACCACATCTCGTTTTTCTTTAACAGACGAGAGAGATGAACGATCATCTCGGCGTGGTTGCGCGAGCAATTGTGCAAGTACGTTGCTCACCGCCTTGATATTTTCCGTATCAGGGCGTACGCCGGTTTTACCCACGATGCAGGCAAGAAGTGGTATCTTGTTCGCTGCGAAGATACACTTTTTGAGGTTCGCGAACAAATTATGCTCTTGCAAAAGCGTAAGAAGCTTCCAGACGTGGATTCTATGAACCTCCACGTCCGTCTTTCCATCCATAGCCCGGCTATGGACGAAGACGTCATCAAAGTTACTCGGTGCAAAATCTCGCACCTATCGCAACAAATTCGTAACACATCTGTTAAACGTTGCAGGGGCGTTACTTAGCCCCTGTGGCACCACTAGCCACTCCCAGAGCATACCACTGGGGGTGCTCACTGCTGTGTACGGGATGTCCCGTTCACGCTTGAGGATCTGATAGAATCTATCCATGGACGAAAAGATGGTACTTTTTGCCATACCATCTATGACGCCATCCTTCCTTGGTATTAGCGTTTACAGCATTCAATTTTTTGATCGCGTGCACTATCCGCCACCGTTCTGTGGTCTTTCGCACACAGAAGGTCGGAGAGATGTGTGGGGATGTTGATTCCCTCAAATAACCAGTCGCTAAGCGATCGGCAAAGAATTAGTCAATCGCTGTGTCCAATTCATGAGGCAGTGGCCACTGCTTCATGACACATTACTTCTAACCGGGCATCAGCTCGATCTCAAGCCGAGTGCCTTTGTCCTTAGGCAGCTCGCATGGCACGGGTTAAGGGAAAACATCCCTGGATTTGACCGAACCCTTATACAAAGGATTGTTCTTCGAAAACTACCAAGACTGAAACGTGTATCTCCCAGTACGGGTCTTATCATCGAGGACACTCTCGTCCATCGTTAAGCTACTGAGAACCCGTTCGTTCTCAGTAAAAACTTGTTCCGACCGAATTTCGGTGACGCACTCGTCCTCTGTGACCAATACGTAGATCTGCTTGATCTTGTCACTACGCGGATCTCGCAAGAATCTTTTAGATTCTAGCTTTGGCAACTTGATTACATCCGAAGCTGGCTTCGGGGGCGCGACCAGATTAGATGTATAAGCGCCTACACTTGATCCGTCATTCACCAAGACATTAACTGACTCGGTGATTTACTGGGAAAACGCATCCGCAGGTGGTTGGGGATCTACACCCTCAACATAACTCTCTCGGGAGTTATTGCTCTCAGGAACGCCGGAATGTTCTTCTGTTACGTGCACTATCACGGTCACGTCCTCTTCGATAGACTATCTTTCAGTCGATCGAGCTTGCTCTACGATCGACTCTCTGATAGTCGATATTGCTTCAACGTGTTGTTCATCCTGAACAACTCTAATATCTCTTCTCGGATTCACCCTTCTTGGTGTGCATCCTTGTTCCAGTCCACTCGATCTCTTCGAGTGGTGAACCTTTCGGCGAAGCCTGTGTCTCTACACAGGTGCTGGAAGCTGGTTATTTAGTGTAGTGGCCTTCTACGCTGTGATCTTGTGCAGTCATACTAACGACAGTACCACAAATGAGGCCATCAAACTCACCCGTAGTACATGTACACTCTTGTGGACGCTCCAAGACGCTCATCAGATGGTCATCTGATGATCAAAAGGCAGGCGTCTTCACGGATAGATGCTGCCAGCTAACCCATGGCTGGTATTTTCTAAGCCATGGCAGGCCGAGGATGACATCATATTTGTCGTCAAAATCCAGTACGACAAAGTCATCATCGTACTGCTTCCCTTCTAGCTTGTAGTGGATTCCCACTACACGTTTGTTCACGGTTGCGGTTCTCCTGTAGCAAGGCACACCGTCATCCTCGTTGGAGAAATCCCTCGCTCAACATAGTTGAGTCTACTATCTTCTAGCGACTGGCTTTGAATAAAACTGTTTGGAGCCTCACGGTCAACTATGGCTCGGAGTGACATTCCACTTGTCACTTCGATCTTCAAAGTGATGAGAGACTCCTCATCACTAGGGGCAGTAACACACAGCGACTGTGTGTTGGAAGCATTCTTCGTCAATAGTCCTGCAAATTCTCTTGACGTTGCTGGATCAGCAGGGTTTTCCGCCCCTACTGATCCTGACCATTTTTTGACGGTCCTACTTGCTGTCGCGACTTAGCGATATGGTCGGACCCACGCCTTGGACCTTTCTTTGGCCAACGGTGGTCATCACGTCC